TAGTATGCTGGGGCCACCATAACAAAATACCACAGATGGGGTGGCTTAAACAACAGAAATTTACTTTCTCACAGTCAGTTCCTGGTAAGGGCTCTCTTCCTGGCTTACAGACGGCCACCTTCTCGGCTCTTCATGTGGCCTTTCCTTGGTGCCTGTGAGCACTCTCTGACATCTCTTCTTATAAAAACACTAATTTTATCAGATCAGGGCCTCACCCTATGATCTCTTTTAATTTTAATTATAGATGTTCCTCAATTTACAATGGAATTACATCCCTATAAACCCACTGTAAGTTGGAAATATCATGAGCCGAAATGCATTTAATATGCCTAACCTACCAGATATCATAGCTTAGCCTAACCTAACTTAATGTGCTGAGGCCAGGCGTGGTGGCTCACGCCTGTAATCCTAGCACTCTGGGAGGCTGAGGCAGGAGGATCGCTTGAGGTCCGGAGTTCAAGACCAGCCTAAGCAAGAGGGAGACCCCCATCTCTACTAAAAATAGAAAAAATTAGCTGGGCGTGGTGGTGCATGCCTGTAGTCCCAGCTGCTCGGGAGGGTGAGGCAGGAGGACTCTGTCTCAAAAGATAAATAAATAAATAAAATAAACGTGCTCAGAATGCTTATGATTGGGCAAAATCATCTAACACAAAGCCTATTTTATAATATTAATAATGAAAAAATTTATAATAAAATAAAAGATCAAAATTCAAAATTGGAGGTATGGTTTCTATTGAATGCCTATGGCTTTCACACCATCATCAAGTTGAAAAACCTTAAATCAAACCATCATAAGTTTTGGAACCTTCTGTACTTCCTTATAGACCCTCATCTCCAAAGATAACCATGCTGAGAATTAGGGCCCCCACATGTAAATTTGGGAGGGTGCACAACCATTCAGTCCACAACACCATCCTGTGGTCTTAGATGTCCCCCAGGTACATGACCCCTCTCTTCCCACTGCTTTGGCCCTGTCATCTCCCTGCTTTAGCCACTGCATTGGCCTTCCTGCTCCAGTCCCCCGCTGCTCGCCCCATGCTCCTATAGAATTATCTTTCCAAATGGACAACTGATCACTGAATGCCTGCTGAGGGTTTTCACCAATATCATCTCATCTAATTCTCCCAACAAGCCTGCAAAGTGGTAGAAACCCATGGCTCAGAGAGGCCAATTGAAGGGCCAGTGTTGCCCAGAGTCGCATTTATGCCCGAATTGGGCTCCTTCCACGCATGTCTCTGCTGTTGCAGTCCAAACTCCTGCAAGGGTGTCTGGCCCACAATATACACAGCAATTAATGACTGGCAGATGAACGGGGTTTATACATAACCCTAACTTCAGCCTCTCCTTCATCAGCATTCATGGTAAAGTTGATCCACCTTCTGATTTCAGCTACAGAGATCTTGGCCCTTTGTTTTGCTGCCTCTGGTAGAAATGAGAGTTAGCATTTTGTTCATCAAACTAAAAATGCGTGCTTTTCCCGTAAGGACAGGTTCTTGCATGTGACTTCAGTTATTTACTAGCAGATTTAATTGCACTTTTAAGGGTAGAAATTTTACAAGCATAAAATGACAAAGTAACTACTGCTTTGTCTTAATTCCTAATCTTTGCTCACTGAGGTGGGGGCACTGCCCCACTCCCTGAAAGATCAAGCTGAACCAACCAGGTGAGATATTCACCTCCCTACAGTGTTCCTCTCACCAGCCATCCTTAGTAGTTACTCTGTAGCTTCCTCCCAAGGTCTCAGCCAAACGCAGATAGGCTACCTGGCACACCTCTCCATCCATGCCTCTCCCCTTGCCTTGGTGTTGGGGGCTCAGAGGTGATTCTTTCACCAGGGTTCAGTCAAGACCTTTCCCCAAGGAAAGCAGCTGCTTCCCACCCTCACCTCAAGCTTCAACTGAAGAATGAGGCTGGGTGTTCTCAGGTCTGCACTAAGTCTGACCCTGATGCTCAGCTGAAAGGCTGTGTGACTTTGGTTATATTACCAAACCTCTATGGGCTTGAGCCTCATTGAAGGTACCTGGTCCCAGTATCACTATGTGGACAAGTAAATCAACCTCCTGGGTGCCAGGCCCTTTGCAAACATTCTTTCTGGACCTATGAAGTCAGTGTTATCCTCATTTTGAGAAGGCAGAAACTGAGGCTTAGAGTGGTGCCCTGCCTGAGACCACTGCTGGTTCTGGCGAGCAGGTCCATCCAACTCTGCAGCAGGTTTTGCTACCAGGAGATGCAGAGGCATCAGGAACCTGACCAAGCTCAGTGCATCCAGGGACATGGTCTCACCTGGAACTGCACGTCCCTCAGGGGTCACTCCAGGTGCTGGTCTGCGGTCTCGGGGCCTGTGGGCTTGAGGTCTCCTGGTGGACAGGCAGGCAGGCGGGCGCGTGCTTGGGACCACTGCTGGCTCCACGGAGACTGCCTTGCTGGGCTGGGTAAACAGCCCACTTTCCATGCCCGGCCCCCAGGCCCGCCCGCCCAGCTCCCACTGCCTACTTAAGCCAGAGGCCCGACTGGGCGCAGGCACAGCAGCTGCCAGAGCCAGGAAAGCAGCACTGCAGTCCCCACTCGGCCGGGGATGAAAGGTCCTTCTGTCTCACCATTTCCTACCGGTGCGTTCTGAATGACGATGCTGAGTGGGATAGGCGCGGGAGCGATGCCGCTCGCCTGGGAGTGTGTTGAGATGCGTAGCTTGCAGAGGGAGGCTCCGACTGGATTTTTCCCATTTCTAATCCCTGACTTGATGTGATCTTATTTTCAAAGAGGGAGAAAGGCTGTAGTTTGTGAAAGGATGGGGGAGAACATATTTCAAAACAAGGTCTGGCTCAGAATACCAATGATCTGACATGTTTTTCTTTTCTTTCGAGAAAAGAGAAGGGCCTATAATTTCAAGGTTGTAGATTCCATTTCCCCTCAGGAACCCCTCCCTGAATAGTCAGTTCTTGTCATTTAATTCTATTTTGAAAAAACATGCAGGGGAGTTTTCAAAAGACTTGGCAGCACGTGGGGCCGTGAGGGGCTGTGCAGCTGGCGGGGGACGGTCTGGGAAATGTCGCAGGCCAGAGACCCTGTTTGGCAACCTTCTCACTGAGAGGTGAGACGTGAGCGCCTCCCCACTCCGAGAGAGGGCGGTGGGGGCTGGGAGTCGCATAGGTGGCTCAGGAGAGGCCTGCCTCCCTCCTCTACAGTTCCAGATGCTTGCTAGCCCGTGGTCTAGGCTCAGGTGAGCCCAGCAAGAGGGTGAAGGACAGAGGCGCATTGCAGGTTGTCAGCCCACTGTGAGTAAGGAGGCAGGTGTTCCAGGGACATGGGGACAGGCCAGGACAGCAGACCACTCTCTGACTTCCCGGCAGGCTGGACTCCCCAGGCTATGGGTGGGAAGGGATACTTGCCAGGCACTTAGCTGAGAGGGCACAAGCCAGGGTGTCCACATGGAAACACGGGCCCCTGGGGAATCCAGGCCAGAGCATGGACCTGGAGGCTCTGGCTTCCTTCTTCCTACCCTGATCTGGCAACATCAAGTACTGATGCTCATTTGGTCCTGGGCATGGCCATCCGAGACCCTGCAGGGGCCCCGGTGTTGCAGGGAGGGGCATCTGAGGCTCAGAGGTTAAGGGACTTGCCCAGGACTGTTCATCTGCTGGAAGGCTGGCCTGGCCTGGACTCAGGTCTCACTGGAGCCCACACCTCTTCCCTGTGGATTCCTAATGACAATGGAGCCACCTGTTTGCCATGGAGAAGACACTACTGCCAGCGCCTCTGGGACATATTTGGTTAGGGCACGGAGAATGGATTGGGACTCAGTTCACGGATTCTTCCGAAACACTTGGTTTGGGGTAGTTTGCAAAATAAGTGTATCTAAAGGATGGGGTATGTTCCAGAAGGACCCTGAGGAGTGATGGTCGCCCTACGTGGGATGTAGGGGTGGTAAAAGGGCTTTGGGCCAGGCCGCAGGACTGGTTTGAGAAGGTGGAGGGTGCAAGGAGAGCCGCATGGGGCCGCGCTGGGCAGAGAGGGGGCTGAACTTGGAAGCCGAGACTAGGCGAGGACCAGGGACCCGAGCCGCGAGCCAAGGACGCGGCTGGTCAGCTGGGGGCGTGGCCAGGGGCGGGACCAGAGACAGGCACTGGGCCAGAGATCGGGGGCGGGGCCAGCACTGAGGCCAGGGGCGGGGCTATAGGGGCAGGGCCTGCGAACTGGGACTGGGGCCCAAGTGTGGAAGGCAGTGTCCCCAGGGCGTAGAGCCAGGATCCCTGACCTGGGTTAGCAAGGGGTGCGGGGAGCCGGTGGCATCGTGTCCAAAGGCCTCCGCTCACACCGGTGCCCTCCCAACTGTCCCTTCCGAAGACCCTGCTGGGTTCATGAAGTGTCCCGGCAGAGCCTCCCCTCACCGGCCTGTCTACCCTCCCCCTTATCTGCTGCCAAACCCTTCTGGTTCTTCCTCTGGACGTCGCTTTCTCCCCCAACCCGCCCCCGTCGCAGAGGCCACTGACCCTCTTCCCAGGCCTGAGTTCAGCTCTCCCCACCCCCAGCTATCTTGTGAGGCAGAGATTACACACAAGGCTCCTGGAGCTCTGATTGTTCTGGTTCTCCTATCAGATCAAACCCAGGCCCTGCGGCTGGAGCTTTGAATTCGCCTCTTCCCCGCACCCACCCCAACACCGCCCAGCGCCAGCCCGGCCTGGGTCCCCCGTCCACTTGGAGGGCTCACCGTCCCACCCACGGAGTCCTCCCCACCTGTCAACTCTCCTCGCCCCGCCCCCCTCCGTCCTGGTCACACGAACCCCGCCCCCACCCCCTCCGGCTGCACTTCGTCCGCAGGACTGCCGGCGCCCACACCCTCACCCTGGCGACATGGAGGGTGTGGCAGTGCCTCCAGCGCAGGTGGGGCCCCTTGGTCTTTGTACCTGGCTCACCTGTTCTGGGCTGCTTGGTGGCAGTCGTTGAGTTCCGGAGATTGTTCCGGGCACCTCTGAATTGCTCATCTCCTTTCAGGTCTTGACTCTGCGGTGACTTCCCCTCTTCAGAGAGAAGGACTACAAGGTCCGAGCGGCCCCTCCTCAGGTAAAACCAAGGCTTCTGGAACCACAGGGAGAGGGGTGGGGGTGGGGCGCTGCACCAAGCCTATCCTCATGGACCACTGGTTAATGTTTTTATATAAAGAGATGCTTTGTGTGAGATTGTTTAAGAAAAGGTTTTACTGCTTGGTTAGAAAGTTTGAAAAACGCAGCTCTGGGGTAAGCAGCCTGGCATCCCATCCTAAACTTGCCCTCAGGAGGAGCACAATGCCAGCACAAAGGGGTGTGTCTGCCACTCAAATCTGGGCAGAAAATACAAACTCCTGCTCCTTCAATACATCGGAAAAGGACTGAAGCAGCACTTCACAAAAGTGAAGTGATATAAATTAAGTGTCCTGGAAAATGTACCCAGATATCGTTGCCTACTAAACTATCAAAAAAAAATTTTTTTTAATGCGAAAACCGAGAGCTGGTAAAGATGTTGTGAAACAAGCATTCTCAAACAATCGGTAAATTGACATAACCTTGGTAGAAAGCAGTTTAGCAATATGTATCAGGAGCTTTAAAGTTTACTGAGTAATTCTACTCTTGAATCCATCCCAGAGAAATAATTCACACTACTGGGCCATTCTCAGGAACAAAAGCAGAAACCAGTGACCCCCTGACAGTCAGGAACTTCAGACCAGGAGCCAGAACAGCAAGACCATTATGAGAACCCACCCCTTCCCAAATATTGGTAAATTAAATGTTTTCAGGGTTGCCAAGGAGGTCACCAGACTGGGAGCAGGGAGATTTAGGGGTCCAGGTGGTGGTGGAATGGAAGAACAGGAGGTAGATGAGGCTGCAGGATGGGAAGATCGCTGGCATCTTCACTAAGGCTCAGTGGGGGTCACGGGGCAGTGATCTTGTTTTGTGGGGATTGAGGGGGAAGGACACAGGGAGGGGGGACAGAGTAGGGACTGCATAACCCCTCCCTAGGAACTCGTCCTGGAGGTAAGAGGGGATTGGTGCTGGATGGTGCTCGTTTACATATTTTCAAGTATGCTTACGTATCATTTATATTCAGCCTTGGTGAGAAAGGTAGAGAGAAAAAAGACATTGGTGTCAAGTGACCTGGCTGTACCTCTCAGAGACTGTCATTTACCTCTCTGAGTCTCAGTTTCCTCATCTATAAGTAGGGCCAACTATACCCATTTGGGGTGGTTGTACAGTGTAGACGCACTCTCAGTGTGAAGGCATGTTCACAGGTGTGCACTGTGTCACATGAGCTGGGATGTCCCCAAGAGGTGGGTCCAATATTGCTGCCTTTCTTTTTTTTTTTGAGACAGAGTCTCACTGCGTTGCCCGGGCTAGAGTGCCTTGGCGTCATCCTAGCTCACAGCAACCTCAAACTCCTGGGCTCAAGCGATTCTCCTGCCTCAGCCTCCCGAGTAGCTGGGACTACAGGCATGCGCC